CTAGGAATACATTCCCAACCTCACTCCTGGTTCCCAACCTCACTCCTTGCCTCTGTTGACCACCACATCTGGCCATATTCCCTACCAAACTCCCTTTCCATCTCTCCAGACTGGCCCCAGAACAAAGGCTGTATTCATAAGCGCTGTCCAAGCCCCCTTTGCAGCGGGACTGGGATTTCAGGCTCCGCCCTGAGTGTTTCCCCTCCCCACCTGTGCCCACTCATGATTTCTGCGGAGATCTGTGGTGGGTTCTCTCTGCAAGAGCAGGTGTCCCATGCTGAGGAGCCCCTGGCTCAAGGCAGCAGCTTGGAAGAGGATATGGAGTGGGAGGTGGCTGTGTACACCCGCCCTGTGGCTGCAGGGATGTAACTTTAGCATTTGATCATGCTTTTCCCTCCAGAGCTACACAAGAACGTTTTGTCCACTGGCCACCTGTTCTCATAGCTGGGTTACCCAAATAGCAGCTCATGTTCTGGGAACAGAAACTCTTGGAGTTGTTCTACATGAGAGGCTCTGTGTCTGCTCAGGGCACAAGGCAGCTGCTGCTCCAAGAGCCAGCACAGCCATTGTATCCCATTCTTGGATTAATCTAAAAGTGGTTCTTCTTGGGATGGACCTGGCTGGTAATGAGAGACGCCGGCCTCTGGTCCTGCTCTTGTGAAAACTGAGGCATCATCCAGGTGTGCAGGGCCCTCTCTGCAGGTAAAGGTACAAACACCAGCTGTGTTGCTGCTTCTCCGTGCAAACCAAAAAGCTGAAGGGCCACTGTTGCCTGTGTGTTTCCCAGCAGCATCCTTGTATGGGGCTGCTGTGAGTGCTCAGCCCCTCAAGACTACTCCTCTCCCCAGAGCCAAAATACTCACATCTCCTTGTAAGATTCAAGTTAAAAGCAGTAGGATGGTTCTGCTCATCTTGTCCTCCCTGTGCCCTCCTTGGAGGGATGAAGGGCCATTAACATGTTGGTGGGGGATGTCCCAATGCATTATTTAGTCTGTTGCAGAAAGTGGTTCTTTAATCAGGTTCTCCTTTGCCAAAGAGAGCTACCTAGTGTTCGCATGCTGCTTGCCCAGGTGTTGGGCTCCCCTTGGGTGTGATTTTTCCAGGGTGGGCTCTGCAGAGGCCATTTTGGTGCAGAGCCCCCAGCAAGGCACCTCACCCCCTGCTCCTCTGGGAAGTGCCTGTCAGATCAGCCCCACGGCCTGGGGTGCTCCTCAGACATTCCCAGCTCACTGGTGACTCCACAGTGTTCCAGCCGTGTGTCTGATCCACGTCTGGGGGAGGCTGGCAGGAGTTCCACTGTTGCTGCTGCCAGAGGCCTGATGTGTCAAGGAAGGATCAAAGGGAAGGGAAATCCGAGTTCCCAGAGGTTCCCTGGTCCTTCTGGCTCCACAGAGCCATCTCCTGGGGATCCTGCTCTCTGCACGCTGCTCCATCGCTCTGCTGCCAAAAGCCACTTGCAGTCTCGAGTGTTTTTGGAAAGGACTTGGGAAAATAAAAATTATGGCAATTCCTTCCCTTACAGTGAAAAATAGTGTTCAGTCTCAGGTGGGAGAGGATAATGGGCTGTTGAGTATCCAGGAGTCTCTCTGTGGGGAAATCAGCAGGTTGCTGGAGAGATGTGAGAGAGCATCACTGCAATGGGAACATACTAAGCTGTATATTTTTCACTTATTTTCATTTTTCTTAAAAGTACATTCCATACTTTAACTTCCTGCCACTTTGTTTCTCAGAATACAAAAGGTGCATTTCCAGGCTGGTTTAGAACAGCAATTGTAGCTGTCAGCAAACAGCTTCACGGAAGAAAATCATTAACTGTAATAGCAGGAAAATGGATCAGAAATCATCATTCAGCCATTTCAGAATGTAGGGATGGTAAGAACTTTTCCAAGCAAGATGTCTGGCAGAGGAGGACGGGCTGGGTTATCCGTGTGGTGACACCATGCAGGAGTGCCTGGGAAGCTCAGTGACAGCTGGAGTGGCCCTGGGTTTCTGATCCTTCTCAGAGTCAGTGTGTCTGCCTCTTAACATAAGGAGTGGGACTGGTGAAATCCAAACGCCCCCTTTCTGAAGGAATGCCTGGGTGGCTTCACTGGGACTTCTGAAAACTGCTTGCTTGGGAATATCCACAGCTGTTCCTGAGCAGGCAGAGGGATGCTGAATGGCAGCAGGAAGGAAAGGGAACAGGAAGGAAACTCCATCATGAGCTGTCTGTAGCTCAAGCCAGCAAAACCTGTGGGTTTGGTCAGTCAGAAAGTGTTGTTAAAATACTTCACTCCTGTTCAGATGTCCTGCACGCCGGAGGACAAGAATCTATATCAGTCCAGGGGTGCCCATTGTTTCTCTGCCAGCCAGAGCACTTGGTGCTTTAGTTCATTGTTTTGGACACTGTTCATTGCCTGGCTCAAGCACAGATGACTGATGAAGAGCCACCTGCAGCCAGCCTGGTGGTCACTGCTCCTGTCCTTTTTTTGTTTTGTTTCCTGTGGGGGTGAAGCAAAGTGAGGCTGTACCTCAGCTTTTCTACTGATGCTAGTTGGATTTGTACCTGACCTTGGGACCAGTGTGTGGGGCGCTATGAACGTGACTAACCTTACCCTTGGCTTTCCCCCCAGGTCATCATTGAACGCTACAAAGGGGAGAAACAGCTGCCAGTGCTGGATAAGACCAAGTTCCTTGTACCAGACCATGTCAACATGAGTGAATTGGTCAAAATAATCCGGTGAGTGGGGTGGTCTCAGCTGGCATGTTGAGAGCCTGTGCTCACCCACAGGCCACTCACTGCAGGGTGGTGGGGTGAGGGTGAGGCAGAGGCAGCTGCTGAGGGCAGGGATGGGGATGTGGCAGCAGCAGCATCCTTGTGTGTGGTACAAACTATTGTGGGGGGCAGGGGAGGGCAGGTTCTTAGCACCTTGTGAAGGGCTGGGGTCTCTCCCTCAAGGGGACACTCATGAGCAGTGAAGGGGTCCCATCCCCTCTTTTTATTCTCCTGCTCAGAGGGAAGAGGCCCCTCTGCTTTGCCCTTGCCAGTAGCACTTGGAAAAAGAGGGCTTTGCAGAATCCTGGCTCAGGAGGCCCTGGAGGCGCTCAGCTGGACTCATGGATACCATGTCCGGAGTGGTGGGAGGAGGCCCTGGCTGTGCAGGCCTGACCCGAGGGAATAGCATTGCTGGGGAGGAGGAACTGGCTGTCAGGGCACCCAGCCCAGCTGGGCTGACCCTGCCTCTCCTGCCCTTTCCCCCACAGGCGCCGCTTGCAGCTGAATCCCACCCAGGCGTTCTTCCTGCTGGTGAACCAGCACAGCATGGTCAGCGTGTCCACCCCCATCTCAGAGATCTATGAGCAGGAGAAGGATGAGGATGGCTTCCTCTACATGGTCTATGCTTCCCAGGAGACCTTTGGCTTCTGAGGGCTGCTGAGAGTTGGCATGTGGAGACAGATGAACTGTGGCACAGAGGCCCCTGGCCTCGGAAGACAACACAGCCAGAGGCTCACAAGATGGGGGCTGTGCTGACCCCCTTCCTCTCCCTCCCTCCCCATCACCCTGTCACCAAAGAGGCTCGTGGCGCGTGTTGGACTCGCACAACCCTTCCCCTCTGTGTAGGTCAGTCCCGCTGCCCCCAGGCGCCAGCCCAGGTGTGTGACAACCCCAGCCAGCCGTGCAGACCCCACGTGGGGCCTGGCCCCCTGTCCCCGTGTCCCCGCGCTGCTCTTGCTGTGCTGTGTGTGCTCTGCTGCTGCCAGACCCGCTGGGCCACGGTCACCCCAGCACAGGGAGAGCCACCTCTCCCCCAGGCACTCATAAAGGGCAGGAGGTCTGCAGAAGCAGCTAACAGATGTTACCATTGCTCCCGAGTTTTAATTGATTTTAATTACACCCATATCAGATTCTTGGTGCTACTGAGTAGATGTAGGCGTCTCTGTAGGACTGTGGATAATGTATATCCTTTAGATTTGTTTTATTGGTTTGTTTGTTTGGGTTTGGTTGGTTGTGTTTTTTTTAGGGATAGATTGGAATGGGGAGAGGGGGAAACTTTCCTGTATTCTGTAGGTAAATAAATCAGGCTTCATTGCACTTTAAAGCATAGTAGATGTCAGAGTGGAATTTTCTTTTAATTTATACAGGTTTGCCATCTATAGTGCTGCTCCTCTGTTGACGATTGTACCTAGATTATCTTGGCTTTTTTTTTTTCCTAATAAAATTGATTTTCTTTCTCTCTGTCTCCCCATTGCATGCAATTTTTCAGTCTCAGTGTGTCAAGGAGTTCACTCAAGGAATGTACTGATTTATATTTGCTATGTTCCTGTCCCTGTTTCTCATGTATTATACCAAAAAAATGTATATGATAAAATCCCCCCCAGTTTAATCTATACAAAGGTATATATATATATATATATATATATAAATATATATATAAAATAAACATAAATTCAAGTTGTGTCTTGTAGGAATGTTCTGTTCCCATCTCATTTGTCCATGTTAATGTCTCTGGTGTATCAAATGTGATGTGTGTTCCCCATGTTTACTGGTGTGTTTGTACCTGCCCAGGCTTCTGAGCTGGTTAATCCAAGCTGTGGAAGACCAGCTGGTTGGGACTGAGGGGCTGGACAAAGGGGGAAGATTGGTTTAGAGAACAGAGCACTGGCTAGTGACACAGGAAACATGGTTGTCCTTGCCCTACCTGTGTAGAATCTCTTGTTCTTTGATTAAACTTCCTCATCTGGGAAGAAAAACTTGAGGTGGAGGCATTTGTAAAGTTTGTTTTTAAGGGAAGCTTTGAGCAGTGCAGGAAATTGTGCCTTACCATGAGCATTCCATCAGACTTATTCTCCAGGCAAAGGCAGGAGCTGATGGTCCTTTGGCTGGTGTCTTCTTGCTCCTCAGCTCACTTTACTTCCTTTGCACTGCACAGCAGAAAAGGGTTAAGGCACTGAAAAAACTTAGGGCTTGCCTGACTTAGGGCAGCTCACTGTGTTGTTCTTGTCCTACACCTGCAGGGAATCCTCTGTCCAGGAAAGGAGCTGGTGTGAGAGACAGATCCAACAGAGCGCTGGAGGAAGATGTTGGAAGCCAGCTGGAGCACAGCTCCCAGCAGAGTGTAGGTGAGAACAGCTGCCCTGCTGGTCCTGGCAGCTGGAGCAGCTGTGGATGTTGCCCCTTGCACCAGCCTCATGATATTTAAACTCCAGTCCCTGAGGGAGGGTCCTCTCCCATCCACCTCCCTGCGGGATGGGTGCTGCAACTGACGGGGCTGAACAGCAGCGGCCCCAGGGGGAGGTGCTAAAGGAGATGCAGATGTGCTCCAACAGCCCCACATCTGTCCTGTGCTGGGCCCCAGGGCTGGAGGCCACTCTGCAGGTGGGGTCTCCCCTGAGGTGGGTAGAGGGGCAGAATCCGCCCCCCACTCCTGCTGCCCACACTGGGGGATCAGCCCAGGACACGGAGAGGACTCTGGATGCCAGCACACATGGCCAGGACATGTCCACCTTCTCATCCACCAGCAGCCCCAAGTCCTTCACTCAGCTGCACCGGGCTGCTTCCCATGTGATATTGTCTTTGAGGTTTGACCACTTCCAGGATCTCTCCTCTTACTCTTTTCCAGGCAGTTCTTTGCTGTTCTCTGTTGGTCCACTCTGCCCTTAGCTCCCAGTGAGTTGTAAATAAAGGTGAGTAAGACCTGGAGTCTCTCCTCAGGGGCACCCAACAGCCCTGCTCATTCTTACACAGCTGTGTTTATCCATTCAACCGGGATCTGCATGGCCTGGCTTCTCACGCCTGCAGGTTCTCCAAGGTCTCTGAAGGGGGATGCTGCTGTCTTGTGTGCTCCTCTCCATGTGGGAGATGAAAGCAGGCCCTTTCCTTATCCTCCCCCACTCTGCTGTCCTTTCATGTGCAACCTTCAGGAAGTGCTGTGTGTTTTAACACAACCAACTGCTTGGGCTTTCTGTAGGGTAATGCCCCTGGGCGCTGCTCTAGGCATTGCTTGACCAGTGGATGTTACACGTGCCAGACTGGCTCCAAGGACTGACCAAAGCTGATGGAGCCAGCCAGCCTGACCCAGAGCTGAGCCATGCAGCTTTTGTGGGACAGGTGTATGACTGATGCCAAACGATGGAACCACGAGGGTAGGAGGAAGCCGAGCTTCCTCTGGGAACAGTGGAATGCAGGAGAGCCTGGGACAAGGGTAGGTAGGGCAGAGCACTAGCAAGGAAAGATACAAATGCAATGCTGATCATTTGCCTCATGACAGAGAAGAGGGTGAAGACCTGAGGATGAGCGTGACAGTTTCAGAGGGCACTTTCAGTCCCTTATCTGTCTCAGCACAGAGCTGCACATCCTGATGCTGGTCTGTTCATCTTGAGGCCACCCACAGTGATGCTGTGCAAGAGCCTGGGGTGAAGCTGCACTGCACTGGGGCTGTGCCTCGCAGCATCACTCAGTTACCTCAGCCAAGCCTCTGCATGTGTCCTGGTTTAGGGTAAATTTGGGAGGAAACGTCCAAAGGGGTCCCTCTAGAAAGCAGATTCAAGCGGCCCCTCTCCCTACTGGTTCAGTAAAAGATTTCCTTGGAGAAACTGGGAAAAAACTGTTTATATAACAAGCAAAGTATTCACAAGCATAACAAATTAATAAATTTAATAAAACCTCTTGCTGTTCTGAAGAGATGGCAAATTCAGAAAGTCCTTTTCACAGGGTATAGCTTGGCTTGCTCAGTCTCTTATCAGTCCCTCCTGCACTAGAAAATGCCACATCCTGGGCCCTGGTGGGCCACAGGTGTAAGCTCCAGGTATTTTTCCTGGGTTTTCAGTCCAGAACAGGTACAGTCAGTTCCAAGAAAAAGAAAAGCCACAGTCTGAGGAACTTCTCTGCCTCAGCTAAGAAAAAATAATTAAAATAACTAAAATAAATAAACTAAATACCTAAAACAGCTAAGAAAATCTAACTAAAAAGCAAAGGAGAGCTCTCTCCTGCTGTCCGTGCTGCAGACAACACAGTCTGTGAGAAGAAAAGCTGAAGCTCTTGTCTCTATGTTCCTGAATACAGCCACCTCAGACATTCTCCACTGCTTATCCTTCTCCCCCCTTCACTCTCAGATCTAATTTTAAAGGTGCAAAACTTATTGCTGGGCTAAACAGACAAAAGAGGATACAATTCAGCATCATAAAGTCACCCTAGGACATTATGCTACATGTTGCTGTAGAGGGTACAACCGATACCAAAGAAGGCTTCAAGCATCAGCCCTTTTTTATTCCTCACTACAACCTTTTCTACCCTTCATCTCACACACATTGCACCTGTGTGCTCTCTCTACCCTTTTGTGACTGGTCAGTGCACCTCGGCACTCCATGTCCCATTACCTTCAATACTGGTCACCCGTCCTGCACAGCTGTAGTCCATTAGGGATGAAGCTCGGCAGTTCCCAATTACCACAAACTGTGTGCCTACAGTTACACTGCAACCAGAGCCATGACACTGTAACATGTCACCTGGTGACTGCTAACACAGGCTGTGACTGGTGTGACAGCCGCCCACGCAATCCTGCTGCCACGGCCACCTGAGCCCCCTTGTCTCCGGGATGGGTAAGCCCAGCTCCCACATTCCCCACCAATGGATGGTGATGAAGAGTTAACCAACAGACTTTGGGAGGGGCTAGGGTTACCTGATGCAACACCAAAGCTATAAAAAGTAGAGCAGCCATTTTATTAATGAGCCACTAGGTAGGCAGTCATGGGGCAGGGCTCCCAGGCCTGTTTTTCCTTATTTAGTCCTTCTGTTGTATTTTTTGTTAAGGTTTAATAAACCCTTTAAAATTTTTAAAGTGAGCAGTTGTTTCTCACAGAAAAAATACAGTTTTTATTTCTGTTGTTAATTAAGCTTAGACATAGTAGTGAAATAGCTGATATAAGTATGCTTGTGTTAAAATGCCTGCTTGAATGGGATAACATCCAATGAACATATGATGAGGACATGTGCTACAGATGTGCCAACTATCAGTGCTCACTGTCTGAAGACTGTGGTCTAAGGCCCAAAAACTGAAGGTTACAATAAGAATGGACTAAAACCACAACCAAGGAATACGCATGCTCTAAAATACCATGGCAACAGTCCCCTGAACGGGGAATAATTAGCATTGACTCCATGACTGCAGAAGGCTGATCAATTGCTTTATTAAGCTATACTGTATTATACTATACTATTAAGAAACTTGTAACCTTTACAGACTATCTGATACAGCTTTAACCTAATTGGTCAATCAATCCAAACACCATGCAATGTCCAATTAAGAAACCACTCTTTGGTAAACAATCTCCATAACACATTCCACATGTACACAACAACACGTGTAGCAAATGGAGATAAAAATTGTTTCTCATTCTCTTCTCTGAACTTTCTCACAGCTTCTCACAGCTCCCCAGAAAAATCCTGGGGAGAACTATGTCTCTCTCTGTTCAGAGGATATGTGATTACCACACTAAAAAGGCAGACCTGAGGAGAAGCCATGCTAAACAGTTCTTGGAATATGTAAACTCATTTTGGGAAAAGTTTACTATGCACAATTGTTTATGAATATGTAACTGGCTGATGCAATACAAATGATATATAAAAGGTGTTTCCAAAATAGGTGTACTCTTGGTTGAGTGCCAAGACACACTGGGCCATATTCTTTGCTTTATTGTCTTTGTCTCCTATTGTCCTTTATTAAACTTTTCAAATTTACACAGGAGAGTGAAACGTGTTTTTCACCCTGACAGTCAGAATACATCCTGACACCCTGTTGGCAGTAGTCTGATTAAATGGTGGCTGCAGTCCTCCTGCAGTGACAGGTGTGGTTCTGTTGGAACAGGGATCCTGGACAAAGATGGAGTTTTGCTCTGAAGGTCCAGTGGTGGTGCAGATGGGCCTGCTTTTTCTGGGAATCCAACAGAAAAGAAAGCTGCTCCTCTGGAATCCAGTGGGAAACGGCTGGCTGTGGTGTTCCAAACCCTCAGATTATATCCAGGTAGGAATGCTTGGGTCCTCCCTCTGGGCAGAGCATCTCAAAAGGGGATGATGTAATTTTATCAGTCATGCAGTGAGACTCAATGGCCCATTAACAGAAGATATTTTCTGGAGGAAGGATTGGTTGTGGAAGAGATAAAGAAAACTGCCCAATTAACAGAAGATAACTGCCCCACTCTAACACATGGCAATAAAATATACACCCCCAGCCACATCTTTCATTTCCAACATAAGACACATTTAAAATTGGCTTGCAGTGGTGGCTGAAGATGCAGAAAGGAAGAGGATGGGACAGGTTACAGCATGGAAGATAAGCAGATGCAGTTTGGCCTGGTTTGGAGGAAGCACAAGCAAGGCCTTAGGAGTAAACACTTTATTAATAGAACAAGGGTGTGAGGTTTGCCATCTGAGGAGGTCTTTAGCTCTCCTGCCACACACTTTGCTCTATTCAGATGAACTTTAGGTGCACTGATCTGCACCATGCTCTGGCCTGGGCAGGGGGCTTCGGACCCTCCAGAGAGATGGGCTGTCAGGAAAACTGTGGGTCCATGGAGTTGAGAGTGTCCTCAGCAGCACAGCTCTCCTCTATGCCTTTGGATGTGGCTGGGTTTGGGACAAGCCAATGGAAATTCTCTTCAGGGGGAGATACAGGCAGACATTTACAAATCCACCCTAATGCAGACTGAATGATCTGTTCTGCTGTGGTCCTTGTAACCAAAGTGTTGCCTGAGCTTGCTGGATTCCTTTCTCTCACCAAGCTCCCCTTCACCATTGCAGGATGCCCAGGCATCACACCTTTGGAATAGCCAGTCCCTTCTGAGGTAACTTTAGTCTCACACTTGCTTCCTGGATGCTCCAGGGAATCCTGGCTGCATCTGTCTGTTGGAGACCTTACCCTTGGGAAGCTTCAGGATTTCGGTGTACTCACAGCTGGAGTCTCCTCCAACCTGATTCATGGATTTCAAGAGGCAGTGAACATTCTTAACAACTTGGATGGTGAGATTGTCAAGGCAAGCGTGTAAACGTGCTCTGTCTGCTTTGGCTTCCTTGGATTTGTCGGCTTGGGTGGTTTCTCCGTCAACAGGCTTCTCCTTCCTCCTGGCTGCCCTCCCTGGCTTAGAAGCTTTGGACTCCAGATGGTCCCCCAAGATCTCCAACACCATTGCTAGAAGCTCCTTGGCCACCAGTTCTATTTCTTGTTGGTGGTCTAGAGGTGTCTCTGCAGGCTCTGTTCTCACAGAGCTGCTGAAAACACTTCCTCTGATCCTCTGAGCAGTTTTCCTTAAAAAGCTGACACGCTGGTCCTCAGGAACCTTCAGCCTCGCAAACACTTTGTACATAACAGTCTCAACCATGTCTTGGACCTTCTGGGCTTCTGCTGCGGTCAGCTGCTCAAAGACAGCTTTAAAGAGGCCATCAGCAGTGTTGTCCGGCTTCCTCTGGGAGTCAGTGGCTCTGCTGGCATCTTCCTGACCCAGCTCAGTTGTGGAGTAGGTTTGGCTCTTGTCTAAAGCTACTTTCCCTCTTCTAAATCTCCCTGATTTCAGGGAGGTCTCTTTGCTCTTCTGTGGAGGTGGGCAAGAAGGTTTCTGAGGCTGCAGCTGCCGCTCTGCCTGGCAGGAAGTGTCAGTGGCTCTCAGCAGTTTGGGACCAGCCTTTAATTTGGCCAGAAACGGCAGAAGCCCTTCCTGAAAGGTGACACCAGGTTGTGTGTCATGGTGCCTGGACAAGCACTCAGCCCCTGCATGCTGAAGATTCCCGTGGGCCCAGGCTTCAGCCAGGCCACGAGGGCAGGAGAGAAGGGCTTCCCTCAGTGCGGTGTGTGCCTGCACATGGCCCTGCTGCCCGTGCCCAGCTCAGTGCCCTGCGCTGGCTCAGCTCCCAGCCTGGAGTCCTTTCCCTGCCACAGTGCCTGGCCCAGCAGCACAGCCCTGCACAGTCCCATGCCTCTGAACACAACGCTTTGCCTACCTCTTGCCTCAAGATCTGCTCTAACTCCAGCTTGATCCTGGTCAGGTACTGCCTGTACTCGTTGAACTCCTTCACAGTGCAAATCACCTATGGAGAGACAAGGGCAAAATCCCCCAAAAACTGTCAGGCTATGAGTCAGCCTTCCCTAAATCAGCCTGACCCCAGCGGGAGAGGAGCTGCCTCCAAGCCCTCCCCCCATACCCTGGTGTTGGGGCCACTGCTGTCCCCCCAGCTGGGGCTGAACAGGCAGTGTGGGGCAGGCTGAGAAGGGCAGGACTGGGGCTTGCCAGGGGGATGTTGGCACTGCTTCTGCTCCCAGGGACACCAGCGCACGGCCCTGTCCTCTGGCAGCAGCAGGCGGCTGCAGCAAGGGCTGTGGGAGCCCCGCTTGAAGAGGGCTGTTCTTGATTAGCCTGATGTCCAAACCTACCTTATTTTCACTGGTGATGCAGCCCTGTTTCTTCAGCATCTGCAGGATGTCCTTGCGCTTGTGGTAGTCCCGAAGGTGGGGGTCATGCAGGCAGTTGTATTGCAGGTTCAGGTGAAATAAGGAAATGGCTGGTAGAGCTGCAAAAGACATTTCCCAGAGTATGAAGGAGACAGGAGAGAGCAGCAAAGTGGTGCCACATAGTACTTGTGAAAAGCTGCGAGCAACCAATGAAGAGATCAAGCAAGTGGTTCTTCTGTGTGTTCCAGGGAGCCTGGAGCTTCCCCCTGCTGCCCAGCCCTTTCTGATTGAAGGGCTACAGTTCCTGCTGTAGGTGGCCTAAAGAACTCTGCATGATGCGGACCACATAAAAGAGGAGAGCTTTTCTACCTTTCTCTTTTTCCCCTACCTTTTCCCCCAGGATTCCCCTGCAGAAGACAGGCTTGGATCTGGGTTTTACAGGGATCTTGACTCTGAGTGGGAGGTGGAGCAGGTCAGAATCCATTTCACCTGCATCTCGTTCTCCCAGGTGTGGTCTTCTGTGGCCAATCTTTGACGACACAGACACTTGGGCAGTAGCTCAATATCCTTCACAGCGGGTGCAAGAGAACACAGGTCCTGAGGCGCTAGAGCAGACCCCCAAGCCCCAGGCTCACCGGCTAAGCTGTTTCTATCAGCCCACTGCTCTCCTCCCTGTAATTCCCAGTGCACTCAGCAGTGCCTCTGCTTTTTGGCAGGACACCAGCAGTGAGATGGAGCTCCACAGCTCCTTCCAAGGGCTCTCGTGGTGCTGTGATGCTGAGCAGTGCTCCACAGCTCCTTCCAAGTGCTCTCGTGGTGCTGCGATCCCACGTGAGCTCCAGAGGTTTCCCAGTGATGGGGCATTGTTACATCATGGTGATGTCACATCACCGCATTGTTACATCACCGCACTGACATTGTGTCACACAGAAACTGCCCACCACACCTGGGGGAGGGGGGCCCACCTGGAGGCCTCTTTGGACAGCCCTGTGGGCCACCCCATCCGTGTGACCCAGCTGTGAGAGTGTTGTAAGTGAGAGTCAGTTTGTATTGAATGAAGGTTGAGTTGATTATTGTAACCTTGGGAAGGGGAGTTACTGTTTTAAGGGGGTTAGTCACTGTTCTTTCCAAGTTCTAAAGGGTCCAGGATACAGCGGGGGATGGTCCAAAGGGGCAGAATAACATCCAGAAACAGAGTCAGCGCAATAAAACCAGCGCTGCAGAAGGAGATTGGATGAAAGACCTAACCAATCATTTGACGCCCCACGGAAATGATTGCTCAGAAATGAATGATGGTAAAGACCAATAGGAACACCAGAAACAAGCCAATCACCACATGGATCCAAAACCCACCAATCCTGGACCCAAAGGGGAGTTATAAAAATGGAAGTTCAGTTGATTTCGGGGCTCTTTTGAGGAATTTGCTTCCTGGAGAGTCCAGTGTGTTTGTTGGGTAGACACACTGTTATTTTTTTGGCTTGTCATGTGGGGGTCTGAGCCTATCCCGGGCCTTCTGTCTCCTGTAGCTCTTTTTAAATAAACGAGATCCTTTTCCTCTGAAGAGTGTCTGGCCTCGTTTGTCCATAACAAGAGCTCCTGTCCACAGGCCCCTTCCCCCCTCCCTGTCATGTCATTCTGTCAGGCAAAGCTTCCTCACCAACAGGAAGGAACAGGAGGAATTGCCACTCCAAAGATGCCCAGTCTGGGGGCTGCTTTTCCCCATTTCCCTTTTTAGACCTTCTTCCCTGTCATGGCGAAGCAGCCACAACTGGGGAAATTGCAGCGAACTGGATATTTGGCCCATCCCTGGCAACATGAGATTCCTTGGTCAGGTTTTGAGAAACAGAAGAGAAGCACGGGCTGAGGGAAAGCCCAGAAAGCCCTCTCCTCCCCTTTCCTCAGGATCCTCTTCAGCCCAGACACCAATGTTGTGTTGTGTTTCTGTACATTTTAGTTACGCTAAGTTGTACTCTGTGTTTGGAATGTTCTGTTCTCCTCTCCTTTCTGTGTAATGGTTCTGACTGGGTTGTCTCCTCCTCCCCAGCTTCTGTCTGTTACCTTACCTCCTCCCCAGTTGCCCTAGCAACCTTTGTATCCCCTTTTATGTCCCTCCCCAGTGCCCTGTCCATCACTTGGCAATCCGTCCCTTCCCTCTAGAATCTTCTCTCCAGGGCATCGAGTGATTGGTTCAGTGGCGGAGCCCTTCCCTAAGTGTCCCCTATTGGCAGTCCAGTGGTGTCATTCTCCCTTTCCCCACTCCCACCTGTGCCTCAATTGGCTGGAGACAGGCTGCATCTTTATTTCAACTTCCTTTCAAAAACCCTTGTAAGCTCTGCCCCAGGGTCTTTGACGGTCTGGTTCCTCTGAACTTATTGCTGTCCAACAAACCTGGTTTGCACCCACAGTTGGAGTCCAGCTCTCTCCTTCTGCCACTTGCTGTCCAGCATCTCTGCATCAAGGAAGGCTCAGAGTGTTCAGGCACCCTCTCTGCTAACGTGGAGTGGAGAGAATGCCCCTCCACTGAAGCCCATGCTGGAGCTGGCCAGGGCTGTTCTGAAGGGACAAGCAGATAGATGCGGCTTCACACCTCTCTGCTGCCTTCCCAGTAAACCCTGTCCTGATTTTTGTATTCTCATCTACTCTCACTTCCTAGCCCTTCTTGGCTGGATTTGGTGAGGTCTCTGGTGCCCGTTCCTCCAGCCTGTCTGGTTCCTTGGGGCAGCTTTTACACTGCAGAGCCCTGGCAGCCTCGCTTTTTGCACAAAGGCAAGAGACAGGCAGAGCAATCTGTTGCAGGTGCAGTGATTGATCACCACGGGGCTCTGGGGAACAGCGAGAGGCGCAGCCCAGGGACGGTGTTCCTCTGCTCCCAAAGCCGTTTCTGGCACACGCTCCAGCTGCAGCTCTTCTCCGTCTCGGCCAGGGGAGGAGCAGCATCGGCTGTGCCCCAGCTTCCCTGTGCCACATGTCCTGCTCAGCCACGAGGGCCGTGAGCCCCACGGCGCGTCCACACGCACCCGCACCTGGGGCAGCGCTTGGGCAGCGCCGGCAGCTCCAGCGTGCAGTCCCGGAGGCCGAGTAGGAGACCCTGCGTGCAACTCCTCTGCAGCTGCAAAGCACAGGTGCTGAGGAATACACCTGGTGCAGGCAGCTCAGGGTGCAGCTGCACTGCCAGCTCCAGGGGCTCCAGGCTGAGGCCTGGCTGGCCGGAGCCCGAGGAAAAAGCCCATGACCTGCTGACTCTGGGCAGGACAAAGAGCCTGAAGACCTGTGGCACAGCCAGGTCAGTGGCCACTCAGAGACAGGGCAGATGCCAGGCCTGGGGAGGAAGAGCTGAGACTTTGCTGTGCTCGGACTGTGAAGGTGTAACAGCCCAGGGGTTCAAGGTCCCTCCCTGGAGGCACCGGCTTAAGCTGTATCTGTGTTCCTGCGCTGGAAATAAATTGTTTTGTGGAACAAGACACGTGAGACTCTGCTGTGGGAAACCCGGTCTGACTGTGTGAGAGTGGGGGGAGTGTGGGGAGTCAATGGGGGCACTCTTCAGCTCACCTGAGCCATCCACTGCAAAGGGGATTTGGTCCCATCAGGAACAGTCTGGTGGTGGAGTGTGACAGCCAGAGTGCCTCGGGGATGCTCAGACAGGCAAGTTTCCTTAACAACAGGGCTGCCTGAGAGCTGGAGCAGAGCCCAGGCTGTGCACCTGCTGGGCTCTGCCCATAAGAGACCAGGCAAGGTGCAGGAGAGTGCCCCAGGCAGGCAGGAAAGGAAAAGGAGTAAGTTAAACCCCCAAGAAGGTTTAATCAAACCTCTGCAGGGCATTTTTCCACTCTAGGTCCTTCAAGGAAGCCTGCAATTCTGAATTTTGCTGTGCCACTTCTTCCTGTTGGGTCTCTTTCCTGTCCAATTGCACTTCCTTGTTCCGATGTTCTGCCTCCTCCAGCATCTTCTGGACATGCTCAGCCTCCGAGAGCTTCTGCCTGGACTCTTCCTGGGCCTCCCTCACATCTTGCTGGGCTCTCTGCACAGTCTTTTCCTGGCACTCTCGGGAGGCTGCCAGCTGAGATGCCAACTCTCCCACCTCCAGTCAAACAGAACAAAGCAGTCAGAGGCTACAGCCACAGCTTGTCACTGTCAGCCACAGCACAGGGTGTGAGCAAAGGGAAAGGACAACTTTCCATTTCTCCCTGTCCTGAGAGCAGCAGATTCACAAAGGATATGGACAACTTGTTTCAGTCTCAAGTGTCTCACTAAGGGCATCAGAAAAAGCACCTCACAACCTAGGCTAGCTGAACAAGTCAGCAGAAATTCATGCTGTTGATCCTGGCTGTCCAAGCCCTTATATCCAGGGGGCCAATGGATGTTGGCATTTGGACACTGCTCCTGCCAACGGCCCTTTGATACTGGCCCTGCAGCCACCAGTAGGCACCAGTATAAACCGGGAACCACCTCCCTTCCAGCCCTAACATCCCCCTGCATCTACCAGTATGGACCCATATAAACCTATATTGACTAGAATAGATCAGTAACCATCTCCCTTCCAGCTCAAAAGCTGGAATACCTACAAGTATGGCCCAGTATAAACCCATACACACCAAGATGGCCCAGCAACCATGCCCCTTTCCAGCCCTAAAACCAGCCTGCTGCCACTACGTACCAGTATGCACAAGTAGAGGAAAAAAGGGAAAGGGAAAAAAGAGAATAAAAGAGAAAATAGAGACTGAAGAAAAGAAAACAAAAGGAAAGATGAGAAAAAAGAGACAAGACAAGAAAAGACAAGAAAAATCAGCACACTGCTCACGGCCTTTACTGATTCAAGGGGGATTTTCAAACAAAAAAAGAGAAAGAAAGGAAAAATGCAATGCCAGCCCAAAGAAGGAACAAAAAATCCAGGCCCTCAACAGTCTGGAGCTACTTTATTTTCAGGATCTGTTTAGCCCAGTCAAGACTCTCAATGCTACAGACTTGTAGGTGGCAGAGATCATGGGCCCGGCCCCGGTGCAGCCGGGTGGGTGGAGAGTAGCTCCCCCTGCCCAGGACACCCTCCCCAGATGTCCGTGGCCTTGGGCTGTGGCAGGGCTGGAGCCAGGCACTGACAGCCTGTGGAGAGCAGCTGAGCTGTCCCTGGGGCCAGCTGTGGCAGCAGCAGCGTGGCAAGGCAGCCATCCCAGCAGAGTGCCAGGGCCTTGGAGGGAAAAAGAAAAAGGAAAGGGAAGAGGGGAGAAAAAACACAAAAGGCAAAGGAAGAAATGCTCAGTCTCTCAGCCATCTACCATCCCTGCTCTCTGTATCCCTTGGTTAAATACACCCCCAATTTCCCATTTCTTACAGGGAACAGCTCTGGCCTCTGGAGAGGAAATGGCAAAAGACCTGGCAAGAGCTTCATTGGCCCAGTGAAAAGCGAGTCTTATCTTTCCAAGAAAAGAAAATTTATTACCAAGTATTGATATATTTACAGCTAAAAAAAATTTGCAAAGTACTGCATTTATAGTATTATTAAATGAAACTCCCCAGCCCTTGCCTGGATGGTCTGACTGGTGGCTTCCTCGGGAATCAGCTCTGGTGACTTTATGGAGAGAAACTACTCTGATCCAATTGTTTGAAACAGAACTTTAATCAGGTGAAAACAACAACCATGACAGTGTGCACTGTATTAGGAACAAACCAGAAAAAAGCAGGGTTCAAAGTAAAGCAGAAATATTTATACACTTGAGTATGGGAGGAGTTAAGATGGGATCTGAGGGAAGAATCCAATGGGAGAGGACAATTAGGAATATTACAATTTCTGCAGCAAAAAGTAACCAATAGTAACAAGGAGAAGCCAGAACTTTCTAGCAACAATTTACATAAGTGAACAGGGAGATTTTGGGAGTGAGCCTTTTGCTCACAATGATTACAAAGGGTTTTCCCAAAGCTTTGAGCTGAGGTTTTCTTCTTCTGCTGCTGAACCAACCCAAACGTATCCCCCTTTTTTTTGTTTTCCTAAAAGAGAAAGATAAACTGTTTTTTCTAAAGTTTTGAACATGAACTTGAATATACAAGAGGAAATAATTACTGTTAATATAAGTATTAATAAAATTAATAGTCCAGTTTTAACTACTGAAATTGCATAATGATAGATTCTAGCCTTTGAATAAGTTGCTGATCTAGTCACTTGCTCAATTTGAAATTTTCTAACTCCCTCCCTTAGAAGACTTAGTCTGTGGTGGATGGATTCACTATGATCTGATAAATTCATGCAGCATAAGCCTTCACAGTCCTCACAGCCATGACCATATGCCAGAAGAAGAAAATCAATTGCAGCTCTGTTTTGTAAGGTAGCATGTCTTATGGCATTGACGTCTGTAAATAATCATTGAAGGCGATTGATGTAGCATTGGTTTGCCTACTAAGCCAGCACCCAATTCCATCAAGTTGTTTTAGGGCTTTTGCAGCGGCCACCCATAGCAACAGGGAAGACATTATAATTTTAGTAGTTCTAGTCCAACATATGATTTTATCATTACAGTCTTTTTCAAAATAGTGAGTTGATCTTTCCATTTGTGCCAATCTGTGTGCCATGGTGATGTTGGGTGCTAGCATATAAGGTGCCTCAAAATACATGGACCACCCCC